CTCTTGATTACCACTTGTTCAGATCGGTGCAGCATGGCTTGGCTGGCACGCGGGTTTGCAAAGTTGAAGAAGTACGAAAATGGGTCGGTGGGTGGAACGCTGCCAAATTAACATGATGTCGACTTGTTGCCAAAAATATAGTAAAATGTTGTAGAAAATGATATAAACTATTTTGATTAATATACATTGTATCAATTTTCCACAATAACTGGCTTTTTCAAGTGAAAAAGTGATCACAATTTTTGCAAACACCTAATATTTGATGCATAAAATTTTTTTTTTGTTTCATGTGATCGTTGCACTGCGCGAAAACAAGGAAAATATAATTTCACAAATTTTTCGAATCACATTTTTATTTCTATTTTCTTATACGGAAAAAATTTTTCTTTTCAATATTTAATTCTTTTACACAAATACGCTATGGTTACATACATATAAACAGACTAAGCTTTTCATATAATTATTTCTATATTTTACTTAATAAATATTTCACAATGTGTTTAGTCATAGTTTTTATTATTGTTTTTTTCTTTTGTACATCGAACAAAAACTATTTTATTTGTTTACGAATAGAAGCCAATATGTGAATAATTTAACGTTCGCATTAGAAATAATTCAAATTAACAAATATTTAATTTTGCTAATGTTTTTCTTGTTTGGATATTTTTACGCGAATTTTTTACATTTTTCTTTGAATAAAAATACAGTGTCTGTTTGCCTAAAAATAAAATAAAAAGATATTTCTTCTTTTAATTGTTGAATTTGAATTAACAATTTTTTAACAATTGATTCAGCCTTCAGATCCTATAGCAGCATACACCAAATATTGCTTCAGGTAGTTGAAAGGTTGCGATTATTATTATGTTTCTATTTCTTTAATTCTAGTATGCCTAGGATCTAGTTTTAATACAAGTCTAAATACCGTTTATTTTTATTTATTTATAATTTTGTTCATATATTTTTTCGTTACGTTTTCTTTTTTGAATTTTTATTTCTTTTATATTTTTCTTCTTCTTAATTTTTGCAAAAGGTAAGTTAAAATTTTAAGCAATTTTGCTTGAATTTGAAATTTTATTTTTTAACTTTACGCATTAAATCTTAAAAACAGACACATATCATTTAAAAAAATTTAAATAATTTAATATAGACTTTGAAGCTGATGCATACGAGTGGAGAGTAATTAGAAGAGACAGGATGGTTGCTACCTAAGGTGATAAAGCTTGCACTTTTCTAAAACCTCGTTTTCTGAGAACTGACGGCTTAAAAAAGAAACTCGACAATATTTCAAGTCTGTCATACGAGACCAACTTACCGTTTTAGTTTTAACAATGTAATTTGAAAGTTTGCAAATCTTTTAGATTAGAAGTACGAATGCACTTCTCTAATGGTTATTAGAAAAGCCTGCGAATATTTCACATGTAAGATGTGAGGAGGAAAAAATATGTCAGCCAATATTTCAAACTTGTCGCCCAATGAGTACAAAAAGATGTGCTCAAAAATTGTCTTTTGGGCAAGCGTTCGTTGCTAAGAAAACAAAATTTCTTGAAAGCATTCTTTCGGTTAAAATAGTTTCGCTTTTGTTGTGCACTCCTCTTCACCAGAAAGTTCTGACCACCTAATGTTAGTTGGCGTCACACATTATTCAAATGTAGACATTACATCGCCTAACAACAAAGTTAGTTTTTTTACCAATTCGTAAGATTTTATTTTAAAACTTTCAACTAAATATCTGGAACCTGAGAGGAATAGGGAGGAGAATACCTATCAAGAGGCAAGTGAAACAATTAAAGCTGTGCCAGCGCGTCTCGTTTTTCCAAGTGATTAATGCATTTTAAGACAAACTGTCGAACTTATTGTGTGCACTCTAGTTGTAGCGCAGAATAATGAAACAATATCTAGCTTAAGTCAAACAGTTATAAACAACAAGCAATACGGCGATTTTTGTGTAAGGGCGAACAACAAATGCATGAGAGTTTACCGACGCGAATGTTGGTCGGACTGGCCATTTAACCGGCTCTACCAAAATAATTGTACCCAGTTTTAGATCGAAATCTCTTGTAAGTTTTTTGTCTTTTTCTACTGTTTGTGGACGAATTACATTTATTTTTTAATAAGGGTCTCGTATATATTTTATCGAGTTTCAAACTAGGAACCTAAGTTATGATTTGTGAGATTTTGCTTTTTGCATACTTCCTCGAGGATAGATGACAGCTATTTTCAAAGTTGATGCTTCGCAACTTGGCCTTTAACGAAGAGCTTGTTATCTTAATATTATATCACAAATTTTTCCTAAAACGACTTCCTTCGCTCGTTTAATAAAATATTCCTTTTTCATTTTCCTTTAAAATGCATTCAAAACTCATTAACTAATGATGATCTTAGTAAATAATAAGGCATGCCGTTTCTATTTTCGACTGTACGTAACGTTATATAGAGTGTTGCACGTTAACATTAGTTAACTTCAGATAGAGATTGCCCATTTATGCGAAAACTTCTTTTCTGCTTGACGATGGATTAGCTTTTATTTGATGTTTTTAAAAAACTGTAAACCTTTTCGAAAATATTTTTCGATAATAAAAAAAATCTAATCAAAAGTTGATCACTATGGATGTCAGTCATATAGAAAAAGGTGTACATAAAATTAATTGAATTTGAAGTAAATGGCATGACATTTACAAAGCGAATAATTATCCAGAAAGCTTTTTGCTTTCTTTGGCAGCAAATTGGAGCAATATGACTTTTTAAAGTACCGACAGGTGAAAACCATTACGAAGAAATATGGTACTTATGAACATTTTTCATTTATAAAAGTCTTTAAGCAATTTCTGAGATATTTTGGATAGTAAAACAAGCCATCAAAACGAAACCGTTTGAAGAAAGATTTTCAGTAGCCGATAGACTAAACTCTTAAGTTCTATTGAAATGTGATCAATAAATCTTTTACGAATATTTTACCCTATGCTCACACCATTTTTATAAAGATTTTGGCTCATTTTCTTATAAAATTTTATACAAAAATCGTAAAATTATTGTTTACTGCGATTAGAGGAGAGCGAACTTAGTCAGTTTTATATCGTTAGGTAAATGGGATTAAGCTGTATCCTACAAGGAAACTTCCCTCTGTCTATATCATTCTTTGTATACTCTTTCAAACGTTTTAATGGATGTGTGGGCGTTAAATTATTTTTAACTCTCAAAACAGCAACATTAGAGATATAGTATAAATAGATAGATTTCGTCATTTTATAGGTTTTTGTTTTCAGTGGGTACATTATTTAACCATATAGTTTTTCAATAAAATTTCTTTTCATTAAATTTTCTTAGATTTAATACAATAATTGATATAAGCTACAAATTTCAACTCAATGGGTTTTTTTTTTTTTTGTTTTTAGCTTCTGTATAGTTTTACCAGAAAAATTTTCTTTCGACAATCGGTTCTTTTTGTTATCATATTTTCTACTTGTTTTCAAATTTGTACAATTATATAATACGTTAGAAATCCCTTGCATACATTTTATAATAAGAATCGAGTTAAGTAAGTAGTCGAGTGACTACGAGTTATCCGTGTTTGTTTGTTTAAAAAAAGAAAGAAAGAAGTTCACGATCTCTAAACGTTGTATAAAATGTTAAGCATTCCTTCTTTTTACTTCTACTTTAAATTCACATATTGGTCCATAGATTCGCCCCAAATTAACAATAAGTTATCTGTCTTTTAGTGCGAATTGAGTAATAATCATTCTCTTATTACCTATGCATCGTTCCATTATTCCTCGAGCGTTGAGTACTCATTCTATATAAATATATCCTGATGTGTAAACTTTTTAACTTTTTGTAGGAGCGAGGTTCAACTTGAAAAATAATCTAAAATGCGGGTTCCAAGGCTCAAGTTGGATGTAACATTTTTGATAAAACTTTCAACGTTTGTTCTTACTGATAACTACAGTTATTAGCTCGCGGAAAAAATTGTGAAAAATATTTCATTTCTAAGCATATTCTTGTAGCCACTACATACAAAATTTAAATGTCAAGAGTTGCAAACTACATTCTACGCGCTCCAAGGCCATAGAAAGAAAAACGTGTGATTTTGAAACAACAAAAACTTTCTGAAGATCTGCAGGGAATTCGCAACCAAAACTTTTAGTTGCTCAGCGAATTGAAGACATTATAACACCATTTTTCCCGTGAACAGTAGCTTCACATGCAGAAGGCAAATATTACCACGGAACAAAAAATTGATATACTTCCGTAACTTAAATAATTAAATTGTAACCGGAATAATGACAGATGACAACGATCCTCCCACCAACGTGGTGGAGGATATTGGAAGATTCTCAACGAAACGAAATTGATAACCGAAGATATTGCAGATAGTGATGGAACTAAATCGAGGATCAAAGGAAAGTGGTCGCAACATGTATGGGCAGATATGATTATATAATTTATCGGTGTGAAACCGTTCCGCCACAAACTTTTCAAGCACACGTTAGACGAACTGCTACCATTACAACTACCTACCTACAAACTAAGCTTATTTTAGTCTTTAATCCGCCATAATCCCCAAATACTCTTTATTCTAATTCTGATATGGTCTGAGAATCTTAAAAATGACCTATCTGAGCAGCGCTTTCATTTTTTGGCTGAGACTAAGAAATTGATCTTTAAAAAGAAGAGATATTCTTTCGATAAAAAATTCATGTGCAGATTTAAAATTGGGGTAACTAATCGCATAATATTTTGAATAAATAATGTTGCCAACGCTGTATAAAAAAAATACTTCAATTTATCGAAAAAAACAATCAAAATTTAATTGCAGTTACGCGAAAGGGAAAAACGAATGAAGAACTAAGAGAAGCAAGAAGAATTGTAAGAACATTAAAACGACCTATGGAAACTTGCTACGATCATATTAAAATGCTACTTCCATATTAAAATTTTGACTTTTTAATGGTCCAAATTTTGGTTTTGTTTTTTTTTTTTTTGCAATTTATTTGTCAGTTTTTATAAAAATTGAAAATTTTAGTTTATGATTTTTATTTTTAGAAAAAATTTCAATTTATTGAAATCATCTGCATTTTCTGGTGATCCAGATTTGATAGGCAATCGTTTTTCTCAGTATGGTCCTAAGTGGTGCGAAGGCTCAACGTGCCTCAGAAAGGATTATACGTAATAAGAGTTATTTGCTTCTTAGAAAGGGATTACTTTGCAGCTAGGCAGAACTAGATGGCAAGAAGTGGCAGAATGAGTTCGATATTATACTCGGAATTAAATTAGTGGGGAGGGGGAAACTGGTGGAATAAAAACATATTTTTTTACATTTTTGTATTTGGTGAGACAATAAATTTATATTTTTTCAGCCAAACACAGTCGAACAGTAACGACTGTAACAACAAAAGCGCAAACTACTGCAGCTCCCGACATAGGGGGCAATAGACATTAGACAATAACCACCATTTTGGAGAAGCATGCAATCGTATTTTCGCTTATTATTCTTAAGAACAAATGGTACAAAATGCACGGGCCACATGTCTGGTAAGCTTCTATAAGCCGGCCAAGATGTGGGGTATTTTTTAAATTACCGCATCAAAAACACTTCCTTATTCCGTATTTCGAGAGAAACTGAGGCTATGGCAAAGTGAAGTGAGTAAAATGGACGGCCTGAGCGTAAACTTTTCCGCGAACGGCCACAAGCCCGAGTTCTTGATTTCGTGATTCTGAAGTGACACGATGGGTTTAGAAAAAATGTTACAAAATGTTTTCAACTATGCAAGGCTCAAAAAAGTAAATTCAGACGTTCGCACGAGCGGCCGTCGATTTTTTTGTGCAATACTTTTTCTAAATCAAATCTTATAAGTACTGATCCCAGGCGTATCCGTTATCCTATAAATTCATATAACACCAGTCAAAAAAAGTCTTGCAGAAAATGTTTTCAAAACCTTATCTCCAGTCGGTCATTCTTGTGTCAACATTTTCGACCACAAGAATATGAATGCCAGAAGGAAAGGAAGATATAAAGTTGAGAAAAAAAGTAGAAAATTGGAGGGTTTATTCGATTTCAGTTTTTAAATTTTACAAAGCGACCAAAAGCCCTCGTCCTCTGATGCTTATATAAGTAGGAAAATATGATAAAAAAGGAGTCGATTTGAAAGATTCTTAATGTCTATATAGATTGGAGCTATTTTTCTGCAGTAATCATCGTGTAGTTTAGATTCAATAGTTTAATCGAATTTGTAAATATATTGCATATAATGCTATATACTTATAGTTACAATTTATGGTTTTTTGTTTACATGGAGTATGTGTGTACCTGTCATTATATAAGATATTGAATTAACAGATGATAATCGTAATAGTAGTCAATTTTAAACAACTCTTCTTCTAGTTCATGGCAAAAAATGAAAAAAAAATATTAAAAAAATAAAAATAGTTTCCAATAATATTATCACCACACATGAACATCATAATAAAGCAAGAAGTGTAAGGAAAATAAATTTTAATGCTACTATCTTGGGTTTTCCATAACAACCTGTTTAAAGGCACCGGCAGAAACTCGAGATTTGACCTCATGATTACCCAGCGCAGCAGTACCATCACGTGCTATATACAATTGCAGACCCGAAGCTGAAAGAGTTAAAACAAAAAAGTGCACTTTGTAATATTTTCTCATAAATAGCCAAATTGTACTTCACTTACTTTCTGTCGATTCTTCTAATTGATCTAAGTCGTCATCTTTTAAAATCTCATCTATTAGAGATTTAGGATTTACTCGTGTCTCCTCTACACGATCTGAAACGCGCGGACCATCATCGAGTGGTCCCTTTTTACGTTTTTCGGCGGTGGTTTTCATACGATCCAATGAACCAGTTTCACTTATAACTAAAGAACCAGAACTGGGATTCCTAAGCCAAAGGTATCACACAGTAAGGTCCAGTAATACATTTCAAACGGTGATTGAAAATTGTTTTCCATTTTTTTTTATTGTTATTTAATTATTTATTTATTGTAATTATTATTATTATTATTTTTTTTTTGGAAAAGAAAGAAATAGAAAACCACAAATAAAAAATTTTTAAATACATTTTTATTAAACTGTAGCGCAAACACTAAATATTTTTTGATGGTAAAAAACCGTGCCTTTATAATGCAGATATTGCAGATATTAATGAATATGTGAGAATAAACGTTAAAAACTACTTTAGTGTTTTAATATGAAAATGAAAAATGTTTTCGATGCAACCATATAATGCATTACATAAGTGACTTTAGAAGAACATAAGAAGAAATATATGAATACAACAACAACAAAATGCTAAAATAATTAATTCACTTTTCAAAAATCATAATCACACACCATAACCAAAAATGTATGGACATGTAAATGTTACTTAATATTAGGCAAAGGATAAAAATTTTAATTCTGCTTTAAAGTCACAACCCAGTATGAATTTCTAAATCTTCTTAACAATGAAAAAAGTTCTAAATAAATTCGAACGAGACGATAGATAACGATAGTCATTCGCCAGCGGCCAGAATCTTGATCCGGTATTCCGTTTAGCAGAGCTTAACGTAAGAAACTAGCCGATGCACATACTCTCGCTAATTTAATGCGACTATGAATGGGTGAATATCCTATCGTAGCGCAAGTAATTGATTTTGACGGCGATATCATTGATAGCATTGTAGATGCACTGCAGTTTCTGCATATTCGGATGCATTTGAAATACAATACTTTTGAAGCGTGGCTCCAGGTTTATAATGTACGCTTGAGAGCTATAGTCCAATCGCTCTATCAACAAATAAGTTTCCTGTAGCAAATGCTCATCAAACGATGAGCTTAAATCCAGGTCGCAGAATTTTAAATGGGGCTTTCAATTTGTGAAAATTTGACTTGTGCGGGAGTAGAGGTAACAAAAAAATCATGTTTTCTTCGAACAGAATTAACTACGCAAAGTTTTTGACAAGTATGGTTTTAAAAAATTTCGGTAGCTTTAATTAAAAAAAATTGTTTAAAAAAGGGACTAAAGATAAAGCGCTCAAGAATCGTCCTCGAAGCAGGTGCCTTTCAAAAAATTTTCGAAAAGTGGATTTGCTCTTGACTATTGCGCTTACTCCGTGGCAAGACATAGGTTTAACTCCCTCAACCACCGATATTATTGCAGATACCTTCAGTTCATTAAATTCTCTCTGTTTGCTAATCCTAAATGCTTTTTCAAATTTGTTAACTCTAAAAGAAAAATTTCCACATATCCCTCTCATGTTTCTTTTAATGGCTCTGATTCCTCGGATGATTTCGAAATCTCAAATCTGTTTGCTGAATATTTCCGACGAAAGTTTTCGATTGCTAATTTCGATTTATCAGCAAACTACCCATATCCTATAACTAACTCGGTTTCAATTCCTAACTTGGTTATTTCGGAAGATGACGTTTTTAAAGGGTTGAGTTCTCTGAAATATAGTTGTGAGCCTGGACCTGATGGAATTCCATCATGTGTACTTAAATCTTGCGTTGTCGAGTTATGTGGCGTTACCTCAAAGATTTTTAACCAGCCCTTGAGTGTAGGTGTTTTCGCTTTGCGTTGGAAGAGCGCTTTAATTATTCCTATTCACAAAAGCGGAAGTAGACAACTCGTTGAGAATTACAGGCGCATAGCCAAGTTTAGCATCTTGGCTAAGCTGTTCGAGCGAATTTCGACCCAGTTTTCGGCCTTTGCCATTAATTCGTATATTTCTCCACACTAGCATGGCTCTCGCACCGATACTGATTTAAGCAAAGCATTTGATTTGGTTAATCATAACTTACTTATCTTTAAACTCCAAGCCTCTGGGTTCCTTTTCTATTTAGTGAAATGGATAAGCTCTTATCTGCACAATAAATCCTTCAGGGTTTTGTTTAACTTCATCACCTCGGATGAATTCCCCGTTATGTCTGGCGAACCTCAAGGAAGTCACTTAGGTCCCATTTTATTTAGTTTATAAATTAACGATCTTCCATCGGTGGTTAATTCCAGCCAGATCTTAATGTACACTGACGATATGAAACTGTTTTCTTCCCTCTCTGTTGAATCGCAATCACATCAGCTTCAAGGAGGCTTGGATAATTTTGTTGCACGGTGCTCTTTGAATCTTCTCAAACTAAATCTAAATAAATGTAAGAAGCTTTCTTTCTCAAGAAGAAAGTCATTCATTACTCAGTATTTCATTGATTCGCGCAAGTTAGAGGACGTCGGTTCGTTCACAGATTTAAGCGTTTTATTTGACCATAGGTTACGTTTTAACTTGCATATTGAGCTCTCGTTAAGCAAAGCTAGGTCCGCGCTTGGTTTTATAAAAAGGTGGTCCAAAGAGCTTGATGATCCCTGCATTACGAAAAGGCTATACATGCGTTTGGTTAGACTCATACTCGCGTATGCCTCTGTTGTGTGGTCTCCTTCATATAGCTGCTATGTAGATTCAATTGAATCTGTTCAAAAGCAATTCGTGCTGTTTGCTCTTAGAAATTTGGGTTGGGATCCGATTGCCTCTCTTCCTCGCTATGAAAATAGGTTGCTTCTGCCGTCCTTACCGTCATTTAAGAAACGTAGCTGTGTTCTTAGCGTTTCCTTTGTAATCAAAGTAATAAATGGTGCTATTGACTCGCCTTCATTACTTGGTGAAATAAGCTTTAATGTCCCCAACCGCTTCTCTAGGCAGTTTATTTTGATTAAGCTTAATCAGTGTAAATATAATTATGAGCTGTTTAATCCGCTCAGAGTTGTTTGCAAGAACCTAAATGACGTCTACCACTTATTCTCATTACTGGACTCTTTAAAGTCTATTAAAGCAACTTTGTCTAATAAGTGCGATTTACTTATGTCGTACTTAAACTAACATTTCATTCTTAATATCTCATTTTTTAAGATAATATTGTGTTGTTAACGTGTTAGTTGCTAAACTTATGCATGTTTGCAATGGTTTAGGGGTTCACTTGCAACCTGAATCTTTTCCTGTTGCGGGTGTGCTTCTGTGCTAGCTGTGTACTTGCCGGCTTTTTTTTTTTTTTCTCGCTTTTTATATATTTATACATGAATTATTATTTTTAACTTTTTAATATACTTTTAATTTACTTTGTTATTATTTTTATTCCTTTTTTTCTTTCCTTTTATTGTATACTAGTTTAAAAACAATTAGTACAAGATTTTCTATTAAGATTCACTGAATTCGACTGTAATTTCTTTAGTTGAATTTCATGCATAAACGGGTAAAATAAATAAATCGACTGTAATGTCATTTAGACTTAACCAACTAAAAAAGTCAACTCTCCAAACAAGGCCATAGAAGCACATTACAAATTCAAATCGACGCCATTTTTTTAAATCATTTTTTAGAATAAGAGCACCGAAGGCTCGCTAGTTTTGGAATGATATTTCTGGAAAATTCTTGTTTAATTTAGATGCAAAATTGTAATTTAAAGCTTGTGTACGCTTTCATTTTGTTCTTAGAAGGTATGAAATTCTTTTTTGATATACGTCCTATACTTGAATATGTAAAAACTCGCGTATTAATTAATTTTTTCCTTTTTCTAATTTATGTAAATTATTATTTTGAAAAATTATCCTACAAAACGTTGTACTACTGCGATCAAAAATTCCATGAATTTTTAATTACACATTTATGAAGCATTGTGTTTAACGTCTGTGTAGGAATTCATGTTTCAACCGTTGCAGACCTACACGAGTTCCTGGAAACGTGCAAATTTTATCATCTCTGATTTTGTTGAGCAAAGAGTTGGCATTAAATTTTTTTGAAGAATTAATATTTTGAGACTGTTTTATAAGGACTTCTTGTTAATCGTTCATCCAATGTAATATTTTTAATAAAACCGTTTGCTTTGCGAGGTGAAAACATTGAACAGAACGGTTTTCACAATCGTTCATCTACGGCATGCTATTATAATTTCAGAAAGATATCTCATAGTTAACTGTTTAAAGCAAGATAATTTAGATTGATCTTCGCAATCCGACAACTTATGCATAAGCCCTCATTATAATTTCTGAAAGCAGGTCTAGATTTCTTTGATCTCTTTAGCAATAAAATTACGGGATTTAATGATGAGCATATGATCAATTAATTCTCAAGACTATTCCTATGCTAAAATGTGTAGCTATGTGTTCACAACTAAAATCAATTAAAGTTTTCATTAAATATGAAAAAATGGCTAAAGCAATTTTTAACTATTTAACAACCTCTGCTATTATAACAGACAATGTTATAATATTTAAATATTTTATGGAAAATATATAATAAAAGTATTAATATAATTTTAAAAGTATTTCGGATTCGATATAAAATATTTTAAAAAATTAATATTTCTGCAAAAGAATGTAAAAATAGTTCGTAAAAATAGGTTCTAGTCAACTAAAACGTTAATATTTATAAAAAAAATGTCATTTTTACTATACTTTTTAAGAACTTAACAAATGCTATTAATATTAAAAAGCAGCTAAAAAAAAAACTTTATGAAAATCATGCTAAAACTTAATATTAACTACAAATGTTCTGGAAGAAGGGGGAACAACAAAGAGTATTAAAAAAATATTTCTTTAATTTACTAATTAAGCCAACACATAAGAAGAGCTGAATATTAAAACTAGTCTATTTAGTGGTATGCAATAAAACGCACATAGTTATGCTGGGTCGTCGAATCAGATGAGAGCCGGAGGAGATTGGCGAAAGTGTGCTACCACCAACACTGGTGGCATTAGAGCCAACGCTGTGGCCTGCCGCGCTTAAGCCAGCTGCATCGGCGGCAACCATCAATGAGCCAGACGAAGGATTTGAGCGTATACTACAGGCGTCGGTAGGACTGGCCGCTAAAGCAACTTCACCTATACGTGGAGTGCTCCCGCCGCCGTTGTTGTTATGTGAGAGGGTAAAACTTTCATTACCACAAATAGCGCTATCGCGGCTGCCGTCAGCCGGTGAAGCTGCCGAGTTTTGTGAATTTTGTTGCAGTTGCTGTTGTATTTGTTGTTGATGATGATAGTTTCCACCAGCAACATCGTCGACCGTATCAGAACCCATAGAAGTGCATTGACATGTTACAACATTATTACTGCTAGCACTGCTGCTGGCATTTGATGATGTTGTGGAATGAGACGATTTGTTGCTATTCATAGTGCCGTAAGGAGAACTAGAGTTAAACAAGGGATTAGTGGTGTTGGTATTATGGCTGGTTGAGGAGGAGGCACCAGTTGCAGATAATTGACGACTAACGCCACCGCAGATAGCACTACTACCGCCATCCAATAAACGCCGAGAGACTCCGCTAAAGTTGCGATTGCTTTTTTTTTTCAATTTTCATTACATTTTTTTTTTACATCGAAATGAAGGAGCATGTAAAGATCGAAAATAAATATAGATAAAGCATTGTGATGAACCCATCAAAGTTTTATAACAAAATAAATTATGCACAAATTATTTTAAAAAACGGAATAACATTTGAAAAAGTTGTAGAAAATAAATAAATAAATGAACAAAATTAAATTTTCTTTAGTTAGGAAAGCGTTAAATGCAGTAAAAGTGGTATGTGGTGGATAGTAATACTATTCAAGTGTATTTCATATGATTTTGAGAAAGTTTCAAAGCCAAAAATAAAAAAATTCACTTTTTTGATGTAAAGACTTTTTCTATATATTTCCTTCTTTTCTTCGAAGAACAGTGGCATGTAGTAAATTAATTATTCCGTTTGAAATATAAAGAAATACACATTAAATATCCCATAAAATTTATATATTGTTGATTAACGAACAATTTAGAGTCTACTTAGGTCTGTCTGTGTCTTCATGTGTCTTTCGAATACTCACCGTCGTACAAATTGCCACAAATAATTGATTCCTCCGCAATCACGCTCAGAAAACCTACGGTTTACAATCCGTGACAGGCGTTGGTTAAAAAAAAAGCATATGTGAGCCACGGCTTTATACTTGCGCACAACGTAAGCAACGAAGTGTAGCTTCGAGTTCCTAGAAGACATTAGTCTAGAGCTTTATGAAAAAAAAAAATACCTCCACCTAATATCCCACATGATCCTGAACGATCAAGAACGATCACAAAAATTATTTACTATGCTTGTATATCTACTTTCGTTTGTGGTGGGAAGCATTAAAAATACGTCATTTGCCTGTTTATTCTCAACAAATCCGAAGGGGATTGTCGACGTTTGTGGATTTTAAATCTCACGACTAGAAACTGAAATATTACATTTCTTATAATGTCGACTGAAATATTAAATAAATAACTGACATATACATATACCGTTAAACAAAGCATGTAATGTGAAGAGAAGATCATTTTCAAGAGAATGCGATTAATATTCAAGTTCAAAAAATAGCTTTTAAATAAAAATTGAAATTTTATATTTCTCATCAACCTCATATGCATAGGTGTATGGGTGTACTTTGCTGATTGCTCTAAAGTTCTGAATAAATGTAGCTGGTCATATGCATTTCTTTATTACCGATATTTTCGACTTGGCAAAACTGATAAGTAAAATTCAAATAAATTTGAGGAACGTCTTAACTTCAACGAACTGAAACTTTAAAAAAAGCATAACAGCATAGCAGATTAGGCAGACCCCTTTATCTCCTACTGCTTCGCCTAATATAATTCTTTACCATAAACTATGTCTTGTCTCCATGAGGCGTATGACTATTATGCGACGAGTTTTTCTGTGAAAGGGACTTGAACAGACGCACTGCAAATTTACATGTTACTATTCTTCACCTATTGTTGCCAAAAAGCGCTAATAGTTACACTATGTTGCTATGTAAATGGTTAATTCTCATGAGACTACTTATGGAATGGGATTCGAAAGATGGACCTATAGGGTGCAAAGTTGGTAGGTTTAATTTTTATAACTAGATAGGACTTTCGTGATAAAGTGTTGAATATAAACGTTTGCTCTTCGTAAGAACGGTTATTAAGTCAAATCAAATTTTTCACATCCATTTAAATAGCGAAATACCATTACCCAATGATGTTTTTCGAGAGATTACAAATTTTTTTTATAACAATTTCTGCAAAATGCTGCTTATATTGTGGTTGTAAAAATGATGCGATCCGATCCAATTTTGTTTAGGGTTCGCTCTTAAATCGAAATACCTTAGTATGCGTAATTTCGTTAAACTATACATTGGCTTCTCCACATTAAAAGGAGATCCAATATTTTGTCACTGTCTATGGCATATGCACAGCATTTTTTTGACACCAATTTTCTTTCTTTTTTCTTCCTTTTTTAGGGTTATTTTATGATATTTTAGTATTTTTATACCCACCACTGTCAGATTTTGTTTTTTCCTATAGTGTATGTAGCTCTTATAAGGAAGCTGCAGAGTCCCTAGAAACTATATATATTCTTGCTCAGCATGAAATTCTGACATGATTTACTCTGTCCGTCTGTGTGATGTGAATTGTTGATATTCTCCTGGCCCCAAATGTGAAGAAATCGACTTCAAATTTGGTATAAACATTAGAAGTTTCTGTGCGCAGGTTGGTATTGAAAATCGACCAAATTCGTCAAAGCATAAGCTGAAAGCAACTCCAATTTTTTTAACAAAAATATTTGGATTTTTGCTCGTTACTGGAAAGTTGTTCAAGTTAGAGGGCTGAAATTTCCCATATTTACTTTATGAAACATTCCACTTTTTACGTCAAAAAATGGTAACGATCAGCTATGCCTATACAAAGTTACGAGAAATTGAACTTTATTTTTTCACTTGTTTGAGGTTTTATGCTTATTTATAGTAAGACAAACAAGACAGAATGTTTAAAACTATTTTGTACACTCGTCAAATGAAGATACATTATTTGCATAAAAATGGGTTAAACCTACAATGAAATTTGTCGCCGCGATTACTTTTTTCTTAATAATACCAGAGATTTGGACATCAAACAAAAAAACTTGGACAGTAGAATGCGAAAAGCCTAACGGTGGATATGCAAGATTCGTCCCCCGCCGAATATAACTTTCTTAATTGTTCCACTTTTGTTTTATTTAACAATATTTGCAAACTTTTTAAAGTTCCCCTCGAAACTTTCTTTCGGTTACAATAATCATATCTCGACTGCCGATTATTTACAATCGGAATGGTCTAGATGACAATCTGTTAAAAAGCTTGAAACGGCTTAGGTGGTAACTAAAAACCGACTAGACGAAAGCAAGTGGACACTATTGCGCTATACCTGCCCTTTGCTGAATAACTTTGCAATCATTTTACAACAAGATACGTTGTGTGAAAATTTGGACACGATCGTGTCGATTTAAGTGTTAAGTCTGACTTACTTTTCTCGTAAGCTCTAAAAGTGGATACAATAATAAGTAAATAATATATGATATGAAATGGCAGTTCACTTAATTGATTTTTGACCATATATATGCTTGTAGTTGTTCTTGCCGGGACGGGCATCACCTTTTTTCAATAAAAGAAGATAGCTCGTAACAGTCAATTGGGATTGTGGGTGCGCTAAGTTGTTTTTGGAACCACAATATTGGATATCCCGGAAGAGAGTTCCGACAAGCAAAGTAGCAATAAGCGAGTTAATAAAAAGCAACTTGGGTACCGAGCACTTTCCAATCCTTAGTAATATGAAAATAAATAAATTTTATTATATCGAAAGACTTTATAATAAACCTTTTAAACTTCCTTTAATTATGCGATACATAATCACTTATTGCTATTGCTCGTAGTGAGTGTGCGTACAAAAAAACGTACCATTTGTGACACATAGAAGATGTACGTAATGTACGTAATGACTTATGATAAATCCACCTTTTATTGTACTTATCAATCTAGAATCATTTTCTCAATCGGTTGAAGCTCTTCTATCCCCATGTCTGTCCATTCATTTTTGTATTCAACATATAACCTTCGAGATATTTAAATGAAACTTGACAAAAACCCACAAGCCATAGTTGTGCGGTATAAGAAGTGACTCTGCTAAATTTGGACGACGTTGGCCTTTTCTTGAGAAAAATGAATCTTTATATGGCGACAATGTCTCCCTGTTAGTCTTCCGTTGCTATGAGTGTTTAAAACCCGAATATTATATTTTGCCTCCTTTTCTTCTAATATATGAATATCTGAATTTATACGTTTATGTTGTTTTGTCTGCATGTTATCTATTATTATTATTAATTTAGCAAGTTTTAGTTATTTTGCCTGCATGTTATCTATTACTATTATTATTAATTTAGCAAGAGAAATAAAATCTAAGATGAAAGTGTTAAAGCACTGGCAACTAAGGCTCTCGGCTTTATTGAAAACTCTACCGCACTTGAGATTTGAACCTACGACGATTGAGTTGCTAGTCAAGATTTTTTGCGTTCGACATGTTATCTAATTTTTTCTAGTATACCTAAATACAACATTTTAATAAACTTCGTGAAGCTAAAAAATCTTAATTAAACTACTTATATAAATTTAAGCTAAACCAAAACTGAAATATAAATCTTAATACGTTAGTTTAAATCTAAGCATTTTAAAAACATTTTTGTAAAAATATAAAAACTTAGCAAATAGAAGAAAGAAAACGTTTAGAAACAGAACTTATAACCTTGCTTTTTAAAAGCAAGATTTTAAACCAGTTTCGTCCGGAAGCCAAAGCATTATTAATTAAATTTTATATTGTAACATTTTTAACAGAAGCAAAACGGTAAGAAATAAGAGTATTTAACAAACCAATTTTACGACTATAGTTATTAACTAGCGATGATAAAAAGTGCAAAGAGCTAGAGAAAGCCTTGTGACTGTTAACTAAATCGAAACCCAAAATAAAAGACAATGCATTTATGGTTACGTTTGAAATATGTCCAAAAACTTGAGGTTATGAAGGATAAGAGATAGAATTTAACCGTTTGAGTCCAAGACGGTATTGACAAAACACTGTCGAAGAATCCCAAGCTGCGCGATCGCACTGTTTAGATTTTATGTCGGGAAAACCCAGACGGTATTTAAAAAGTAGCCCGATCGCGCTGCTTGGGATGTTTTTTCAATACCGTCTGTATTTTCTCGACATAAAATCTGAACAGCGCGATCGCGTCGCTTGAGACTCAAACGGTTAAGAAACCTAAATGATAAAAAAACCATATTTTTCCATAGATGATGCTATTAGAAATTTTTTGTAAAGATATACTTAATAGCTGTAATTTAATTTTGATTACGTTGTTTAGAAACTAACGCGCGATTTAGAGTTAATGTTAATCTTCTGTTTAAACTACAATTTTAATTTTGCAGAACGTTTTTTAATGCTTATTATTTTAAGTGGTGAGTAGCTTTCTTTTGAAAACATTACAGAGTAAAATTTAACGTTACAAAAACACAAAACTGCTGAGATGAGAGATTTAATGTGAATACTGAGAGAGCTTTACGAACCTCATTAAATCGTAAGTAGCACTGATGGATTGCGGCCTTATGTGAGAGACGACTGCTGCATCCTCGGTTCTTAAAGTATAAAATGGTTCGCCATACTGCACAAATCCCAAAGTTTGCCTTAGCGGTGTTGAACTCTTCATTAGATTGCGACGATAGGCCCTCTCGAAAGGTGTGCGTGACATGGAGAGAAGGTTATTTTCCGTGGAAAGCATTAATTTACCCAAACGGTCTTGGCAGTATAATTTGTTCAAGGAATTGTGGGAGTAATGTTGCAAATTGTTGGCGTCTACAGTGTTAAAGGCAAAATGACATGCAGGATAAGAAGGTGAATTCGTCTTTTCTGCTGATTGAGTACCACAAGGAAATTGAGGTTTTCTTATAGATGTGGGTGTTAGAAACGGGTCCGGCGCTATATGTTCTCCCACCACATCTGGTATTGTACCCAATGAACGCATTTTTTGAATGGGATAATGAAAATTTTCCAGAATTTGGGTCGTTGGTTTTTTTAATGTCAGCGGCAAAGGGCTATCGTCGTTACCTATAAATTTTGCGTTACCTACTTTAGCACTTTTTACGTAAAGTTTACCCGACGATGCGGATGAAGTGGAATTCTTTCTTTCTTGTACTAATGCGTTACTTTTTCTATCCTCATTACTTTCGTCTTTGATACGCTGGAACTCCTCACGCAATTCCTTTTCAATATAATTCTCTAAACTCAAATTATTTAAAGATTTCATTTTCGGTAAATGCAGACGTTCTCGATCTGCTAACAATTTCAAACGTCTTGGTGAATCCCGGTCCAATTCCTGCGAAGCTTTATGAAATTCCATTTTCAGCAATGACACATTTTCCATCGATTTAATTTTGACAACGCGTGGTGTGTGAAAGTTTTCATCTAAGCCCGAATCAGATTCACTTTCATACAATTGTGAGTCTCTTGATTCGGAACGGCTGCTACCATTTATACTGCGATAAGTAGGTGATGGTGTGTTTAAAAAAGTCATACTGTACGGGCAAGGGGCTGTTAAGGAAGAGTCCGATGACGGTATTTCATTGAGGGGTGTACGAAACTCTTCTAGAGCGGAACTATCATCACGTATTGAAGAATTTGGTGTCTGAAAAAGCAATTCTTCGCTTTCGCATTCATTTATCACTTTCGATACCTGTAGCTTTTGTTGTTGTTGCGATGACTGTGATGTAGGAGCATTATTATGTTTTAAAGCGGGTATATGTAATTTCATAGCATTCATAGCTTTCTGGTTAAGTCTATTCAGAAGAGAAACGGATTTACGGAATCTGTAGGCACGGTGATTTTTGTCATTGCAATTTTAAGCCAATTTTGAAAACCGTAAACCAATATTTTACAAAAATTTTAAGGAGTCGTTTTTTATCAACATCGTGAACGTTAAATTAAAAGTAAGAGGAAAAATATAAAATAAAATTAAAATAAAAAAGAAATAGTCATTTGATAGCTTAAACATATTAAATGAGCCGTATTATGTTATATTATTAGTAGTAATAGAATATCAAGTTTTTTTTATTAATTAAAATAAGGCAAATTTTAAAATTAATTTTTAATCAAAAAGAAAATGTAGAAAATGTGACTATGCTTCCATTCCTATCTCTTAAAAGAAATTAAGCTCAATCTTCTCAAAAATGACGTTCACATTATCGAAAAGGTCGATTATGACGAAGCGGAAACGTTTTGAAAAAACGGAACTAAGAGCGGCCAATTTCAAGAACACTAAATGTTTAAGTATATGGGGGACCACGACGACAATGATGTAAGGGAATGTCTTCTTGCCCTTTACATCAAGATTTGAAACCACGAAAATATCTATTATGTACGAAAGATTTTGATTTGTTGCTTTTACCCTGATGGTCTCGATGCTCACAAAATGTCCCTATTTTATTACATTGAAGTTTCTGAAACATTATCTTTGTTCATTATTATTATTAGTTTATTTTATTTTCACACAAACTTAAATTGTAATTACCGACATCGTCTTTTAGATTGGTAATAGGCTTTTCTCGTCCACGGCTGGGAGTAAACAAATCTCGTTTCCTTGAGCTAGTAGATATCCTTCGTTGCACTAAGATATTATTGTGATAAGATACAAGGAAAATCTCATTCGAACTCATCGCATTTGCAAAATTAGGAAAGCCATTTGGTTTGCACCATTCTGGCTTCCGGGTTTGTACATCAGACACTATGCATAAAGCCTAACCCTTTGTAATCCTAAATGAAAAATATTCCATGATCACAGATAATGTCCTCCAAAATACTATGGCAAAAATAACGGTGTATCGTATGGAATTTTTATATCGCAGGGATAACTTAAGCTGCATGAATCCCGACAGAGTTAGCGTTCACTTATTAATTACCGCGGAATGTGTTATCAAGACTAAATTTTTCAGAACTTAGACAGTGCAAGGCGAACATCCTAATTATTAATGTATTCTCGAGTAGTTTGGAATTCTGTGGCGAAAATATTATTTACGTTATTTATGTTAACTGATACCTCCATTTCGAACCTGGAAAACTATTTAAAGTACAGTTACGCCTCTTTTATACCAACCCCTCTTACCAATCATGTGAACCATATTACAAAAAAATCAGACGCTTTGGGAGGTTGAAAAGGAAAAACGGTTATAATGATGCTTGAATTCAAACACGTGGCCTCGTTAAATTTATTAACTTCGCATAATGGTATTTATCTTATATTGGATGTTGTTGTATTGTATTGTTGCAAATTTGTCGTTTGTTTAGGAGAATCATCGTTAATGCCTTACATCACGTACTTGTGTATAAGGATGAATACAATACTCAGAAGGATCTAAAAGATGTCTTTTATTATACCAAACGACTGAGCACTATTTTCTAAACGGGTTTATGTATGTGAGTCCGGCCTTCTGTTCGCGGTTCCCTTAGGGGTTTTGTTTATTCTGAATTGGATTTAATCGTTTTTATGACAATACCGCGTATGACCCGCCGCTTCAAAAAGGCAAAAAAAACTGCCACTTTTCTCGACAAAATTCGATTGAATATGGGAAATGGGAACGGAATGGAATGAAATTTTGGATAATCTCACGTAGAAATAAGCCTCCATCGAGTGATCTGATCTAACTTTCGTTTTTTTATGATGAAAATTTCTACTACTCCTATGACCAGGTAAATTCATTTTTTATAAGAATTTTCAAACAACAACAAAATAAAAATTTTCAAACAACAACAAAAGCGTTTATATGGCACAACAAAATTACATTTTGCGTATTTTCAGACGAAAATAAGTAAAGAGTAGTCAGTTCTTTGACAAACCAGAAATTAACTGAACTAAATTTTAACCGTTGGTTCACGTTTTAGCGCCCTCTCATGGCCCTTAATCGTCCTCATCAAATGCTATTCTGTGACGAAAATGGAAAAAGAATTGCTTTAGATCAGACGATGTAAAAGATTTAACGGCGGGCATTGCGCGCCAAACAACATTTCAGTCTCTTCTTCTCTTGGCTGTTGGGTAAAATACGTTATTATTCAAAAAAATTTTGCCATATTTGGTTATATTCTGCTTTAAAAAGATCTCTTTGTATATAAAAATGTATACAATTTCTAAAAGTTATCAATTACATTATAATTTTAAAACTTTTAAATATTATGACAGGAGGACGCTGTTCTTGCAAAGTCTAATTTTTGCTACAGTCTTCCTAATAACAATATATACTTGTCAACATTTGCAGAATAACGGAGAGAATTTCATTTAAAAGGTGCCAGATTATGATATACAAATGGAACATTTCGCAACTTAACGATATCAACGAAATAAATTTTAATGAACAGACGTAGATATTCTCCTGTACATATGTTATTGTATATATTCGTTTATGAAAATTGAATCAACGCCAAAATATATTCAGTGGTAGGGTGTGAGTTGCATTTTTACGAAAAGAACGAAATTGTTCTAAAGATTAAGAACTTTGGCGTCAAAAAACTCTACGCATTTTTATATCCAAAGCGAAAACAGGAAAACCAAATTTTAGAAGGCATTCACGAGTCCTCAAAAGTTTTAAATACGCTTCAAATAAATAGAGTTATCAGTGAAATCAAAATAGAGCAATGTCTGTCTGTCTTTCTATTGTTCGTTCATTGAAACCACGATTATGAACCTAAAATTTTTGCTTGGAACAATGTTAAGCTTGAGTTTAAATTTCGCTATTAAATCTTTCTTTTTACAAAATTATTTAAATCATTGAAAAAAAAAATAAAAAAAATACTGATAATATACGTTCTTAAAATTTTAAAACTTTTAGTCTATAGGTTTAAGTTGGTCCTTAAATTTCTTTTCTAAAAAGTTTTGATGTTTATTTCAAAACGTAGCAAACCTTCCCACGGCTCTTTTTGTATATAATAAAGAAAATGAAAAACCGCTCCTAAGTGAAAAGGACTACGAGACATGAAATGTGTGATATGTACCGAGAACAAGGTTCATTTAATAATTAAGCGTTTTAAATAAGCCAGTTAAGCGTATTAAAAGTATGGATTAAGTCGAGTACACGTTTCTTCCTTGTTTTGTCACTACATAATTTAGAAGCACGCACTCTGACTCTTAATTTATTGTAACAATTGAAGTTGAGTAGAAATTTATTCGTATTAAACAGGCTGCTAAAAAATTAATACAAGAACGGCTGTCGTCGTACCCTGCTAATTCCATATTTTAAGTGTTAGGTATCCAAAATTCGCTGCGATGTGTACATAAATTTTTTATTCGCTATTTTTACCCGTTTCATAACATTGAATTTTGCTGTATGTAACGACCTTAAACTTTACCATGAATATTATTATAGAAAAATTTTCAATATATATATGTACACACACATACATGTGTATAATGATACATATTCGCAAGAAAAGAAAAGGAGAATGAAAGTAATAGGAAAGAAAATAAGCAAATTTATTCCATATGTTTACAATCATTTTAAAATTTTTTCAAAGAAAAAGTTTAAAGATTGGAAATTGAAATCTTTTGATATATAATTACTTGAAAACAACTTTTTAACTTGAAAAAGAAGAAAATATTTAATTTTTCCTATAAACATTATTACTTTCCATCAAAGCGAGAAAAACTTAAGTAAAAGTTATGGTCTTACCAAGAGTATTTAGTGTAGTTATATTAAATAACATTTGTTATATCAGAGCTTTGCTTTAGTTTATTGTTGTAGCGTTGTTGTTAGTGCTTTTATTGTTTAACGTAATTTCAATGCATTGGAAAGAGTATTCTGTTTTAAGATACTTTTATGAAAACTTTAATAGAGCATTAGTATCGAAATGCCTTTAACTTTCAAGTGGTGTAGATATTAAACATATATGTTAGTTCTGTATTCTAAAAATTCTCTTTTTTTTTAAGTTAAGCAAGACGCTTATAATTTGAAAGTATATGTGTTAAAAATTGAAAAGTCACATTTAAAAATTATACAACAGAAATAAAAAATTTTTATAAAAAATTTTGTATTGTATAAATAAATTATTGGTATAGAAATGAAATAAAAATAAATATGTTTTGGAAATGATAATCCTTACCTTGCGTGGCCGGAATCACCTTCGGAACTTTGTCGAGAATGTTGACTGTGCGAAAAACTACTATAACCGGAACCTTTTGACATCTGTGGAAGAGAAAAGAAGTAAAGTAAACATAATTCCCTTTACCATGGCTGACTTTGCAAATATATCTGTAAGATTTAATGTATTACAAATATACTGCTATGATCAAACTATAAATAAATAAATGAATGCAATGAAAAAACTATCAATTCACTCTTTATGAGTTCTTGGAAAGTTCAATTTTTCGCGGAACAACATGCTTATATTAACTAGATTCCACCCGATTGATTGATTACCAGTATTACCATATGTAGATCAAAAAACTAATAACTGGACGGTTTTCTTCTGAAGAAGAATCTTGGCATATGGTACAAGAAGTTGGCTCTGTAATTCTATATTGAGGCCGTTACTATACAATTACATATATATATATTTACAAGCTATTAACGGACCTAACCAAATTTCAAATGTTCCGTTTAATACGTCTTGAAGTTGTTTTTTCTTATATTCTTAATTTTATGCTACATGAAATGATGTTTCATTAGGTTTGAATGAATTTTAAAGTCAAAACTGCAGCAAAGTAAATAAAAACGTGATAGGTTGAACAGCAAATACCTTGCATCACGCCTTGTGCCAAATACAATCCTTAAACGATTTTTTTATAATTCCAAAAATTGCACTCTGTTTCCATTTAGAGGCATACATCTTATGAGAGTCGTATACGGAAACGAAACAGGGGGCAACTAAGTACTACCAATTAGATTTTCTTGCAATATACGGGCTTTCTTTAATCATTTAGCGAATCTCTCCTAGACGTGTAACGATAAGAAAAAAATTGACAGACAAAGATAGTGAGTAACCGCAGCCTACTCCATCGGTAAGTGTTATGCCTTTGAGCATTTACTATAAGCTCCGACCACATATCAATTGTGACCAGAGTATGGTCTATCGTATCGACGACTGAACTCAGTTATTCCAATTTGATAGTCGGATAGATAGTCTCTTAACTCTACCTAGCCATACGCTTATAGGGGCTTACCTTCATGATCCAAAGTTGATTCATTTAATTGTTATGTTAAACTGTCATGATTTGAAGCATTACTTCCCCTAGAAGATTTTACATGAAAGAAGGTTGAAAATATTAGTTCACCAAAGGCAAATTTTCGCCATTTATTTATCAAATATATTTGTAAGTTTAATGTATAGGGCATTTTTGTCAAATTGGGCGTGTAATGTAAAGTGTGGTCGTAAAAATAATCTGAACTAATCCATTTTTAGTAGCATCTTATCTTATATCTTAAAATCTCTCAAGTCTTTCTGAGTGATACAAGCATTCACACAAACTTAAACTAAGCGTCAATTACGCTGTACCACAAGCAGCGTAGAGTAAATTTATGAAGGACTTGTTTGTAACACGACCTAAGAAAACAGCATAGAAGGAAAACACCTAACGCCATTTTTGCGCAGCTATTGAAAATACTTTTCTGCCAACTGAAAGGTTGCCTTTATACGGTAAATGAAAATTAATTATTCTGATTTAACTGCACTTTGCAACTTACTTGACTAGTATTACTGGAATTTCTTGAATGGCCCATTTCCATAATGGACGTAGGAGCAACGGCGCTGCCTGTTGTACTAATTACAGTGGTTGTACCATAATTATTGCTGCCAATTACAATACCTCCCAGATTTCCTCCGCCGCCACCGTTACCACCCGTACCACCAATACCGCCGTAAGGAGACATAAGTTGTTGTGCATTTGTTAGGGAAACTCCGGGTATTAAAGATGCTACAGATGAGGGAGGATATGATGAAGATAATGTAGACGTTTGCTGATGTAACTGATGTTGCTGCTCTTGCATTTGATGTTGTTGCAGCAATAAAGCATCAGATGTTAAAGTGACGGCGGATTCAGATGACTCCGAAAGACCAGAATCGGTAATTAGGGAAGCTATAAGAACTTGAGGATCTATTTCTAAAGGTAGTAATGTTAAAAAAAAAAAACAAATAAAGAAGAATGAATACATATTGGTTTGAACGTTATTTAATATTTTAATCACCTTCATCTCTGATGCTAGAAATAGGTCGCCCTCCCATAATGTTACTACTAATAACCGAAGAACTGCCAGCGGTGGGTAATGAAACAGAAACCACAGCCGACGCTATATTTTTAACCTCCGTGCTTATTGCAGCCAAATCTTCCGTGGAAGGTTTTTGTTTACTTTTTAAATTTGGTGTGGGACTGGAATTAATTGGAAAATTTTAGTTTACAGAATATATTTGGAGAATTTTGCAAAACACGTACGCTTTAAATAAAATGTCGCCACTAAGCATATGCATTTTAATGGATACTGTTAGCATGGAATTGTCTAAACGATGCCTGGCATCGTACCCTTCAAGCAAACAACGGCGTGAGATTAAGCCAGCACCCGCATATTCGGCAAGATTCAAATCAATAAAACCTAATTTATAATAACTACGTCCACCTTTCATCTCTTTACGTATGGAAATGCGCAAATAGCAGGGATCCAAAACTCCTGTCGACGCATTGGCCGACATTTTGCAGGGAAACGTAAAATTCCGATTCCATTCTACACGGTGGTTGCGTACCTCCTTCCTATTAATATTAAAAAAATTTAATTTTAAAAACAAACCATTCCAAAAAAACGGGTTTTTTGAGTTACCTGCTGCTATATTCTTGAAATGAACCGCCATCCAAAAGTCTGATTTTAGCAAAAAGCACCTCATTCACTAAGGCTACATTATCCAAATCTTGTAATTGTACTTCCACATTAAAACGATATTTTTTCTTTTTCATCATAAAGGCCATAACCGAGGGCACTCAGGCCCTTTTCCAATGTTGTGAAGACAAACTACAGATATTTGTCGTTTGTCTATAAAGTTTTCTTAGGATGGACTTTTATTTTCTCTATGGATGTCGAATGGAAGATACGCAGCACTTGGTAAACTTTTGCTGGTAATCAAGTTTACTGGAAAATATACTTTTCGTCTTGTGGTTGCTGAGTTTTATAACGAAAACATTCTTTATTATGATAAGTTGAAGGTTTGGATTTGTTTCAACTGTGCTGCCAGCATGGTTTTTGTTTTAAAAATTTACATACTCTTCAAACATGCTGCTATTGCACTGTAAAGAATGAAACAAGAATGATAATTAAGTTCAAGGAAAAAAGTTATTTAGCTTCAAGTATAATAAAACTATGTTAGAAAAATGATAAGTGCATATAACTAAGATCATCCATCGTAATATAAAATCGCAACATATTTTATGGTAGAATAGAAAATGAGTTTTACTATGCAACCTTGTTTGTCAAGAGAATTGCAAGAAGAAAGTTCCAAATCAAAAAGATTAAATTAAAGGAATGAATTCTATTTACGGTCTAATTAATTTTCCTAAAAGAAAAAATTAATTCCCTAGAGAGGAAAAACCCAAACGCATATTCGCGGCACGTGATGCAGCTGCCGGCCGAGGAAAACAATTAGCGGAAAGGCAACATGAAGCCATGAACATCGGTAATAGTAATATGCTTGTAAAAATGTGTATAAATAAATTATTTGCGAAAGGCAGAGTCAGTCCGACAAGAGCATTTGAGTCGCAAAGGGATATTAGAGTTGAGAAGTCAAGGGTACTGCCAAAGTAAAATGTAAGTAGTTTTATTCTTAAACAAATTGGTTGTAAATAGAACAATCTAGTAGTGAAAACATGCAAGTCTGTTTTTCTTAAGAAGAATATCCACGATCCAGTGATACGAACCGTATCTGCGAAAAGCGAATCTAGTAACAATATAAAGAATTTTATTAATTTTAGCATCTTGGCTCTGCACAAAGTTTTAGATAAATATCTTTCATCGATTTCAAGTTATAATATTTGCGTACGAGGACGTGTAGGTAGATTTACAACTACTACTACTTTTTACTACTTTTTGTCATGAAATTTTTCCTAAAACTGTTACTAAGTCTTCAATTCATATGGCGTTTTGAACTCTGCTCGTCAAGGTGTTACGTTTAGCTTTCTTATATTTCAATTTTTCATCTTAGCTTTTGCCGTACTGGTCTTTTCAGCAACAGATGACGTCCAGAAAATAAGCAAAATTAATTAATTATAATTGTAATTGTGCACATTAAGAGTGTGGACATATTTCTCCTTGGAGTTTTAACGGTAATAATAAATAATATTTTATTTAAAGTGTTGTCCATCGCTGGCTAGTAATACTACCATTTTTTCGGAAGAATGTGAATTCCATCCGTTGGAAATGATATTAACGAAGAGAAATGTATTTTAGGCATACAATAGTACCGGTAGCACATTTCAACAAGGGATTTTACGATATGTATCCAAAAGTGCTTTTTGGAATATTGTAATCATTTTCCTTTAATAGGTTTTTGAAACTGTAAAAAGTTAATTTGTTGTTACTTTTTGCTCCAAAAATATATCAAGAATAGTTTTCAAGGTATAAAAGTTTCCTAGCAAAAGTGTTTTGGTTGTAGAAGTTTTGATTAATATTAATGTGCTTCTTTTGTTGACTTTGCTAAAAATAAACAGCATCAGTAGTACTAGTACTTAAGTAGTATTAGTACTTAAGTAATAATTTGTTTCGACACATAATTTTACAGTTTTTTTATTGAAAACAAAACAAACAATTTTTGTTTGCTCTATTTTTACAGCTTATAACCCATTTACTTCAAAAATTTTTGGATAAACAAAAAGTTTATTTCATCAAAAGACAAACGATGCACAAATTAAATATTTCTAATTCTACCACTTCTTGACTGCAAATAACAGCGTATATGCATGTATGTACGTATATATATTAATATATATATTTAGGGATTTTCCTTTTCATTCAGGAAATTTCAGAGATCAGATGAAGTCATTTATATTCATGACCATAATGAAATTCTTAACCAATCGAAGCATGTGTATCAATCCCTCTACTCGTCTCTCCGTTTCTTCCTCATTTCACTCATAAATGATGGCAAACGCAAACTTAAAAATGTTCATGTGTATTGTTTGGGTAACCCTACAGTATCAGTGCAAAGATGGAAAGTTCGGTCACGACCATCCAGGGTTTTATAGGTTAATGAAATTTCATTTATTTTTCAGTTTTTTGACTTGTTGGTTGGTATAAAAGATCTCTCATCTCCTTAGTTTCTTGTTTTCAATTCACTTTCTGTTTTATAGTAAAAATCAATGCTTGTTTCCTATTTCTCTTTTATACTTGAGGTAAGATAATATTATTAAATTTCCTTTTTAAACATATTGAGAAAGTTTATGAAAAAATATTATAGAACTTTCATTTCCATTTGGTTATGTTTTCCTTTCCGCTTTTAATCTACCCATACATTCCATACACAACGTTTTTATGAAAAGCCATACACTTTCTGCTTCCTCTGTAAAAGTCGCGTTAAACTACTTTTATGTGGTGAGAGTAACTCTTCAATTCCTACAAAACCGCACCCTTAAAATAACGTCGTCAGTGCGTCAACATGGTCAATTGCGAGAGTAAGAAGTTAGAAGAAGTTAAAATGTTTAACAACTTGTGATTTTTACTGGGAGAGCTGTAGAGACTAATTAGGTTAAAAGGCAACACAACTAACTATCAGTTTTAGCTTAAGCAGCCACTTCCTTTTACGATAATATTGTTGGGTGTAATATACTACAATAAAATTTATTGTTTTGCTTATTTCGAGCATTATTTACACTCCATATAATTGAAAGCAATCTTCTTATGTTATAGTTTCTAAAAAAACAACAAATCCTTTTTTAAGAACTTTCTAGTTGCGTTCAAGACGTGATTTTTACGTTTTTTAAAACAAAGCATTTAAATACATTCTCCTTTTTACGCTTTATTATTTTCATTATAATAGATTTACAGGAAATGCTTCTTAGTGACTTACTTTTCTCTATTCCTGTTACCATTTACCAGTTTAAGTTTACTACACAATTGCTATTGCTTACGTTCGATGATATTGAAGGTAAACAAAATGAAAAGTTTTGAAACTAAACTTTTCTCTAATGTCCTTGTTAGTAAAAGTGAGAATGCTAATGGATGAGAAAATACCAACAAAGTTAAAGTATATTTTTAGGCGTTTCCAACGATAAAATACCATTCAGTCCTAGCACGTAAACAAGGGACTTTATGTAAGTGAAAAGTCACAAGCACGCATTCAAGTGGAAATGTTCCCTAAAAGAAAATGAAGACAAAACAAATATAGCATCATTCAATAAGTCTCCTATCTGAAAAATATATGGCAATAGTATTGAGAGACTCTCGATAGTGTCAGCCTTTCAACGAAATGTGTGAACATTTCATCACATTCGGACTGTGAGTTTGTAAGTTACAGTTAGTGAGGCTACATTTTGTTCGCTTTGAGCGACTTTCGTCGCGTGACAATTGAAACATTCTTCTTTTTACATTTTAAATATACTTTTTTGTTACAAGTATATTTCATTCATGTTTCATATCGAAAGGCTTTTCCTATTTTTCTGGCTTTTGTTGAAAAATTTGAGAAACTTCTGGGCGAATAACTGAACCACGTGAATTCGTACACGTCCTTTGAAGTCAACGTTATATCGTTTAAGAAAGTTATGCAGGGACCGAAACAAATGTTGGTCTGTTTTATCTTCTGTAGAGCAGAATAAGTTGATACACTTTGATATCTATTTACAGCCTTGGTATGTGTGCAGTGATTAAGAATAGGTTTAAACTGATTTATATGTCTCACCTAACACCATCGAAAGTACCAAATCCACAAGAAGGTATAGAAGTGCTGAAAAATTCCAATATTGCTAATATAAAAAGCAAGCAAAAAAAATTTAAAAAGCAATAAATTCATATAAAAAGAAGAAAGTTTTACTTTTTTCTCTCAAGTGCAAACTGCTTCAAATGTATAAATTTATTTAAAAGAAACTGCTCAACAATAATCTTCCGTGTAAAGCAAATGTGTGCGTACGACAATACAAGACTTCAGTAAGTTGAATGTAAAAAAAAAACAAGAAATATTTTCAAATGTATGTTAATAACCCACCGTGTGTAGTAAGAATAAATAAATATAGAAAAATTCAATTCAGTCACGGACATAATGCGAATATAACAATAGATGTATCGCGTATATAAATTAAGGCAAATTTAATGCGTAATGCTGTTATTTTCTTGCGTTTCGTTTAAGAATTGAACAAAAAGCTATTCTAATCTATCATCTTACTCGCATCGTTAGCATAAAAATTTAAAAGAAATATTAGCAGAAAGAATTGTAAAAACAAAAACTAAAAGTTTAAAGTAAAATCCAACTTAACAACAAATAAAGTATCCATCACTCTTAGAAAATCAAAAAGTCTGGCTTAGTTGTCAAGTCGAAAGCAACTACAGTTCGTTTTAGGATTTTCAAATTTTATTATCATCTTTCAAGAAACGTGATATTGCTCTTCTTTCATTCCAGTCACAGCGACAGGAAATGGTTTTCCAAATCGTGGTTTGATTTAAGCCGTGTCTGTCTTTACGCCCATTCCCCATTGATTTTTAATAGCGTCATCATCTGCCGAAAAGCAAGTCCTTCCCGCCAAGAAGCCTAGTACCTATAGAATAAAAAGAATACGTTTTCTTAATAGTTAAAAATAATCAACCTTCAAGTTCAAGCTTTGTTGGTTATCACTACCAATCAATTAAAACTAAGATGAAGACGAAGAGATGAGCAATAGACCAATTATAACAAATAAAAAAGTTGTATTCGGCTGGAGCCCAATCTCGCCATGACCGATGCTTTTATTTATTGCTGAAAAAGAGTAAATGAGATAAAATCTATCCTTCACCTTTTACTTCACTAAAAGATATTGTTAGAATTGGTCTTCCACGCCGTGACATACATCGTAATTAATTTAGAATTAACGCATGTAGTTTTTCGCATCAGTCTGACGTCCACAACAATTAATGTAGAATTAAGAAAAGGGTGTGAAGTTATATTTAAATATAACTAGCAAAGACACAAACTAAAATTTTCTGCAGAGCTAAAAATACCATTAAAATAGAACTTTGCCAGAATTTTTTTGCAAAATATTAGCATTGTACTCTCCAAGTCCTTTTATGTGATCCTCCATCTCAACAGTATTGTGAAGAAAAAATTAATCCA